ATTGCTACAACTATTTGGAAGTGATGTGAGGTTTATGACAGCAAGCTAACTGTTGTCATCATGTGTTTACAATGACACGCTTTAAGCTTGAGGATTTCCCTTCATGATTTTGTAGGTCTGATGCTGATTGACAAGACTAAATAATTCTCCATCTTCCATTTAAAGTCAAACTAGGAATAATTAATTATTCAGGGAACGAACTTTGAAGTTATGTGAAAACTACATATTGTCCTCTACTTACTAGTTGCAACTTTTGTCCATTACACCGCAGGTCTGATTGACCAACCATGCGGTCAGGCTGTGCACACACAGGCTGTGCACACACAGTTCTTCCCCTCTCTTATACTAACAGATGAAATCTCGTCTGCCATTAACGTGCATAACTGTAAAGCAGGCCACAGTAGCCACCCTCCTCCTTCCCTCCATCCCTCCATCACTCCTGTGCTGTTCTGAGCGCTCTGTTCCTGTACTCAGCCGCCCGCTGAGCTCGGTAGCAGGAACACAGTGAAGCAGTGATGAAAGGATGAAGGGAGGGATGAAAAGGAGAGTGCCACAGAGGCACCCCAGATCATCATTTCAGTATTAAACAGAAAATGTGACTCTAACAGGACCAAAATCAAACAAACTAACCCAGGCCCGGGTTCGAACGAGCCAGGAGTCAGCAAATGTAGAATTTTTTTCAGCATTGTGACCCAACACAAACTAGAAACAGTATGTGAACAGTGTTTTAATAGCTTAAACATACCACAAGTGCAAAGTATCCATTCCAGACAGTGTGATGTAAGCAAACTTTAACCTTCACACCAACACAATGACTCCACTACAAGTCTGGGTCCACACACACAGACACAGCCAGTCACTGCAGGTTTAAGATTTTCTAAGATCGACTGACCTTCACTAAAGAAAGCACACAATCAGACAACCCTTTAACAATGACAACAATAAACACAATTTACACTTTATGCAACATCTTTTTTTTCCTCTGCTCTGTCTGAGGATGTCTGAAAGACTGAACAAAAGTTTAAAAAAAAAAGAAAGAAAGCGAGAGCGTTTCATCGGCTAAGGTTGCGTCTGGCAGAAGTGCTTCACTGGATACCTGATCCAAGGGCAGATTAAAAGAACAAAGTCTTTGAATCAACACTGACAGCTGAGGCAGACAGAAAAGCCCCAGAATCAGACTATTAGAACATAATCTTCCTGCCACGGGTCGATCAGCCCGATACAGGATGTAACTTGGAGGCAATGTGCCCGGTCAGCGTTACAAAACTCCCCCCAAAAAAGACTTGAAAGGCAACATTGAAAGCTGCACAGTTTGATACAGCGTGACCAAATCAGAGACAGTAATTTGAGGAAAACACACCGAAAGACTTTTAGAAGATGACATGGCCAAAGATCACAGATGATGTGTTTCCTTTGCAGCAGGAAAATTAAACTCAGCAAAAAGCTAAATGTTTTTCTCACAGATCGCTCAAAATCAAACAGAGGCTTCTATCTGCCATTTCACACACATATTCTACAGCCATACAGTCAGAAATCCATCGTTGACACAGCACCCACAGTAACATCGACTGACCAGAATGCACTGCAACTAGAAGACATGTTGGATATTGATTAAAGGGCATGACTCTCACTTTTTTCTCTGCTCCCCGGCCCTTCAGATCTCAGCATCAAACTCTCCTCCATATAACGAGCTATCACCCGTCTCTGGGGGTTTTGAAAAGACATTCTGAGAAATGGAAATCACTGAAGTACATAGAGGGAAAGTGGATACATCACAGAGTGAAAAGCCAGAGGAATTCTAAGCCAGCATTAAATCAAACCGAGGAGTTACACCAGTAATATTCACCTGATACACCTTTTCTTACAGCAGATATTGTGGCTTTTTCTAAACCAGGTAAAGCATAGCCTTAAGTAATAACATTAAGAATGGCTCGGCACCATTTACAATAAGTGTCCCAGCATGCACAACACCAGGGCTGTGGACACACGCTTCTCAACTTCTGATTAGTCCTCTAACTCAGTTTTTGTTGAACTGGTACAAGTAAATGTTTTTAAGTCTCACGGGCAACTAACATGCACTTTTGTTCTGATAGCCTAAAAGCACACTTGCTCCGGTTTCAACTTCCTTTGTCACACCGTAAATTAATACTGCATAGTTAAGACCCTATGCCACTGGGTTGAAAATAGGCAAAACTACAGTTTAAATAACTTACATGGCTCACAGTGTTTACATGCTACGACTTTGTATTTTTTTAAAACAGAGTGGCATATGTGAAAAGAAAGTTGTATAAAGCCTTTTGTGGCTCCAGAGGGATGATGGGATGTTATTTGAGTCAGCATCAGTTGGGGCCATGGGTGTATAAAGAGACCTGGATACAGCATTCGAGGCGGGGACCCGTTCAGTCCTATGAAAGTAGCTCAGAAGCACATGAAGCCAGAAAAGTTTGCCTTACCCGTTTTAAAATTACCTGGATCTTCTGAATCATAGGGCCCAGAGAGAAAGTGCACGACAGACTTTCGAGAGCTGAGCAGCTAACTTCTGGTACAGTGCTCCGCTTACTTGAGTGTCAATAAATTATTTCTTAAGGGTCTTTGAGACTTTTGATATGTTATCAAAATGGGTGGATCAAATCTTGATAGTAAAAAGAGTCATATTACGGAGGTTGTGATGTTTAAAAAAATGTATCCAATGATTTACAGATGTCTCTTTTGCCAAAGTCTATGGGAAAAGTGTTTTTGGGCCCCATGGCATCACATGATGGACCTTGAAATTATAATTCCACTGTCTGGCCACTGAAAAAATTGGCTTTAAAGCTTGCCACACTTCCTGGGGGACTGGTTGGGCTGAAGACTGCACTTGTGGATTTTGAAAGCAAAGATACCGGACCTTTGTAGCTCACTCCTCAGCTCTGCTTGAGGATACATTAGCCACTACTAGCATGACACACCTGAATCAGTGGGTCCACTACATTTCACTGCACACTGTCATTTCATACGTAACTGTGAGGGCCGGGGAAAGCTGTTTAAATGGAGTGTAGTCTGTCAGCCAGCAGCAGCAACCACGCAACTGTCAGCTGACAAAACACACAATGAAGGCCTACAGGGCAAAAGACACGGTTGCACTCCAAATTAACAAATAATTGCCTCCATTGACAGTAAAGTGCACTTTATTATTTATGTATGCCGGAGACACTTTCATCTGTTTTCTGTCTTATCAATTTCCCTCAACTTTTGTGTTTTTATGGTCCATGTGGTCGTGATGATATTAATGCTGCTCTCGCCACTGAAATTTAGCAGCAGATCCGTGGCATCTACAGGCTCTGATACCAATCTGATGGCGTGTAGACTTGGCGCACTGCAGGCGTATGCCGGCATACTAATGGTGCTGACCCAGTGACCAGAGTGTCAGTGGTGGAGTTGCATTGTAGGTGATGTAGGCGCCAAGTGTTGACAGAAGCCCCACACTGCCAGATTTTCGGCCAATGTTGGGGCGTTTCACCGGCAAGCTGCAAGCGTTAATACACACAGAGCCGGATTGGGGAGTTGATCGGAGGTTCCCAATTTTCTGCCTCGTAGGGTAGTCATATTGGCGGAACCCTTTTAGTTTAAACAGACCGAGGCGGCCTTCCACAACGGGAGGGGCTGTTGAAGACTTGTGGGAGGAGCTGTTGAGACGCCGCATGTGCGACCCACTGGCGGTGGATAAACAGGAAACAGCTGATAGCAGGAATTAGCGAGCAGCTAGTAGCAAGAGGGAATGCAAACCTGACAGACACTGTAAAGATGAGCAACTGGGGAGACAAGGAATTGCGCGCCCTCCTTGTCCTCGCAAACGAAGAGGCCATTAATCGTCAAGTGACGGGAACGGTGAAGAACAGGCCGACTTGCGAGAGAATCGGCGAAGGACTGACTAGCCATGGCTTCCCTCACATGTCACTGTTTACGTCACACACTGAGCTACACGTTTTGTTACTTGCTCACGCCCCCCATTGCCCCGAAAAAGGCGCATTCTGTATAAACAAAAGTAGGCAAGCGGCATTTTTGCCGCACTCCCCGATTTTGTTTTTATACTGCCAATTCTGAAAAAAGACTGATTGAGCTTTCCTGCAAATTTGCACAATTCCTGTCTGAAAAGGGCTTAAGACAAATATGTAGAAAAAAAGTTATCCGTGGTTTTGCTGCATCGTTTTTGCTCCTTTTCTAACTTATCTTTTACTAAAATATCCACCCTGAGTGAAACGCTGAATCAGTGACTTTACTTAGGGTCTCATTCTGTCACTTCCCTCAGATCTTTGTGATCACAGCTGATTCAACCAGTGAGCATGAGTGTTGAAGGTGGTTGCCATAAATAAAGCGCTACATTGAGCTAGGAGCCACCCTGGGGCTCACTGTCTGCTCTTTAACCTCTGAACCCCTTCACCCTTGGGCTTGGTATGACTGTCCCTGGTGCATAGACTTTCCTAAATTAATCTGACAACTAGAAACTACTTTAGGGGTTCAACAACAAACTAATTTTGGCGATTATGGAAATCTAAACCACCTAACTTGACATTTAAGCCTCAATTTACATAACTCTTTACATAAGCCACTTCCATTTATGGTTTGTCCTTATAGACTAACTGGCTGTTAGGTAACACTGCCTCAAATTAGGCGCTCGTTGACTTCAGTGGGGCTGTTTAACCCCGCAGATGTGTCAGCTGTGTCGGCTGATGGTGTGCCCCGCTGGTTGCATCCCCACCACGGTCACGGCTTGTTCCGAGCAGGGCTTGTTATGGGAAAAAATAAAAAGAGAAAGCAGCGTGCTTGCTTGTTTCATAACACGGAAGGAGACTGCAATAGCAATGCAGACGGGAGGAAGCGGAGGTGCAGAAGTGCAGCGTGCTCCTCTATTGTCTGGAGCCTAATTGACGCCCCGCAAAATGCACACAGAGGGAGGAAAAATGGTTTAACAGAAAGAAAACGTGTTCAAGCGGACATTAAAGCCGGTGTGTGTGTCTCACCTTCCGTCCCCCGTTTGTGCCGTGAGTCCCTCCGAGAGAAAAGCTTTTATTTGTGAAATGGTAATGAGAGGCAGGGCAGGCTTGGCCGCTTCCACTCATTCATCAGTTTCTTGCTAAAAGAGGGGGGTCGGTCCTGATGGTCCCTGCATGCGCTCTGCACAAAAAAGCCATTACGAAAGTTCCGGAAGTGCACGAGCATCCAAACTGTTGGGGGTTACTAAAGGCACAAAAGCTCCACAGCCCACATGACAACAGTGACACGCTGCAAGTTGTGTGTTTAATAACTGACGGTGCTTTTTAATTAAATAAAATTTATCTATATTTATTTTTACGATAATAATTATTATTCACTGTTTTACCTTTACAAATAATGATTATTTTCACATTTATTAAGTAGTTTTTACTTGGGTCAAAACCTTGCCTTGTAGGTTGTCCAATTTATTTACTTTATTGTCAGAAAAAAAAATCTTATTTTGTAAAATAAAGACTACAGTTTTAATTTTTAATGTCTCCTTTCTGTGTGGAGTTTGTATGTTCCCCCTGTGTCACCATGGGTTTTCTCTGGGTACTCCGGCTTCCTCCCACAGTCCAAAGACATGCAGACTAGGTTAATTGGTGACTCTAAATTGCCTGTAGGTGTGAATGTGAGCATGAATGTTTGTCTGTCTCTATGTGTCAGCCCTGTGATAGTCTGGCGACATGTCCAGGGTGTACCCCGCCTCTCGCCCAATGTCAGCTGGGATAGGCTCCAGTGACCCCGCGACCCTCAAGAGGATAAGCTGCTACGGAAATGGATGGATGTATAGATGTCTGAAAGGTGCGCTACACAGCCACACACACTGGTGTGGCGAAGAAACATAACAAGGGCATCAGATGCATTTGGTGGGGCACCAACATGCAGAAAGTTATCTAGCATGAAGGGCAGCCTATATGGCGCTGCATCACATCTGAGTTCACCAGTACCCAGGTATTTCCAGTAATCTGGCTCAGGTCAAAGTTGGGTGGAGTTATACTGGAAAGTACAACATGTCACCAATTTCTGTGTACTCATAACGGTGCATGCCCACTATACGCAACTATATGTGACCAAAAATTCACTTGGAAGTTACCGTTTCGCTACACAAAGCACACTGGGATACCTGCAAAATGGACCAAGCTGGTGGTACAACAAGAGGATGTGACATTTGACTAATTCAAATGGTGCTCACATCAAGACAGCTAATCAAGCTGTAGCCACAAGCGACTGGCAGGGAGAAGGGTGGATGCAAGTTTAAGCAAATTAGTAGCGTATAGTGCGTATATAGTACTGTAAGAATGTGACAAAGTGTTCGTCCCAACAAGTTTAACAAAAACTAACAGACGTGAGACAGAAGCACAGTCCTGAGATGAGCTCTAAACACAGCTTTGACTTTGAGTGTCCTCAAATCTTAAACATGGACTGATACTATTCAAAGACCTTGTTTGCATTTTTACTCATTATCCAAAGAATTCACTTGAATAGATGGCTGATGTGATACGTGAAGTCCTGTACAGCAGGCCCACTCACACAGCTGTTTACAATTTCACTTCCACTTTACATTGTACACTGTCTGAGTGTGTAAAGACTGTGCTACACACACATTTCCTCTCCCATGTGAGTTTTGTTGCACCTGAAAGGGAGGTACAACATCTGTGTTTATTCTTCCATCAGGAGAGAACTTCATCTAGCTGCCACTTAATGCAGCACTCAGACCAAAACCCTCTCTCATGGGGGTCAGTTAAATTCGGCAAACGCAGCTGAGACTAATGATAAATACTGGGTATATTCCATTCAATTTAAGCAACATTTTAGAATGACAGCAAAAGGAAATTTCACACTGCTCTTAATAGTATAAAAGAAGGAAATCCGGTATGGCTACAACTTAATCGGAGGTCTATCAGGCAAAAGCTACTCATTACCAAATTGGAGTGTATCACTTTAATCAATTATCAGCGACCAAATCGCTTTTTTCCCTTGGGCTAATCTTCAGTGGTGAGTGTTCTCCACTGAAGAGACGGCAGTGTCTTTGTTCCACCCTGATGAATCACATGAATAAAAAGTATGTTTGATATTGTTTTAGTGCAATGTGTGTTCACAAAACTTTCATAAATAAGGGCTTAAAAACAACTTAAATTGTAAATGATCCCCTGATATGGTTTAATTTAAGAAATGTTAAGGGAATTATATCTTGATCTTTACTTTGGATTAAAATGAGTGAATACATTCCTCCTCTGGTCTTTAATCTGACTATAAAATCTTATTGCCTTACATATGAATAATGTCATCAAGCTGTTCGTCTGCTTCAATATACTTTATTCAATACTTTTTGTTTAGTGTGCTTTGTTCATATTAGATCAACTTAATCGTTATTGCACAGAGTACCGAGACAACAAGATGTACACATACAGAATGTGTCCTTCATGCAACAAAACTGATGCACTGTGTTATGAAACTGATCTGCAGGTGGACTGCAGCACACCTGATGACATAAACATGCAGTAGCATTCTTTACCTAACCTCCTTATACTGCACTGTACTTTCTCTTTGTCTCATTCAGACTCTGCCCCCTATTGGCCCACAACAGTGCTTCACACAACTCAGGATTATGCATCTTTGATAGAGGGGTGAGGCTGAGGAGGGTGAGATGGACACCTGCTCGGGAATGCGGCTGAAATTCATTGTGTTGTTGATTTCAGCAGAGGAATAATTGTCAATAGATGTTTTTTTTCACAGCAGACATTTTGATATTTCATAGTAGGTGTGTTTAGCACAGGTGTGTTTTAGGTGTGTCTGGTATTATGCATGCTGGTTCTGTGGAATATTACACTGGGACACTTAATGGAACTGAGTCATCATTAATACTGTGCTTTTCCTGCATGACAAGTCAAAACATCTGCTGTGAAAAGGTCCATGAGAGCTGATAATGCACGCAGGTATTAACCACACTCACCACAAAGTCATGACTAACAGCATGGTAAATGGTCAGTGCACAAAATCACAAGGCTCAAGCTTATCAAGATTTCCAACAAGAGACATACTGACAGTACCCATAACTTAAGAGATCTGATCTCCAGTCAGTAGCTGTGTGTTGCCCTCTATTGCATAGTGTTTTCATATGGCAACAATTATTTGATCTCGTTTTACTAAAAGGCAGTAATATAAGTTCCATGTTTTACTATTTAGTTGCAAAAAGGGGGTCTGCTTGTACACAAAAATGCAGGAAGTCCTGTTTGCACTTTGTTTTTCCATGGACCTGTGACAGCTCCTTCAGTTGACTTATTGTTCACTATTTAGACAAAATTACCTCAAGAAAAAAATCTGTGAAAGTTTACTTTTATATTTCATCATTAAAAAGTTTAGATGTGATAAGTTTTTTTTGTAAAATATTAAAATGAATTTGTTGCCATATGGCACCTATACACAAATATGGAAGTGTCCTTTGTGTATTCAACCAATTGGACTGTAATATCCCCCTAGACCTAGTCAGTCAGATCCCACCTGGATCCCCCTGGATCCCAGGTAATGTGAGGAGCAGGTGCTTCAAGTATGCCGTGTTCCTTTGATTCACCTGCTTCTTTGACTTCCACAAGGGCTGACACTGGGTCAGAATGAAATGTGAATTTGATTGGAAAACGTAATGACTTAATGAATGAAAATTATGAAATTAAATAGGAATTATTACATGTTATGGGACTTTTTGTTATTACACATTGTTGCCATATTACAACATTGTACCAGCTACCCCTGTTTAGAATAGATTTTTTACTTTTTTCAAATTTGTCCATTATTTAAGCAATTTCTAGTAATAAAAACACACCAAAACATTTTTTCATGTTAGAGTGATAGTTTATAGAGGGCTAAAGATCACAGGTAGCAGGCTCCAGTTGTCAGGGTTTCAGCTTTGCCTCTACCTTGTGTTTCCTGTTTCCCCTTCTCAGTGTCTCATGTTTGCTTTCAGTCTGTCTCTGTGTGTTTACTGGGCGTGGCCTCATGGTTGCTTCCTCCTGTCAATCCTCCTGAGTGCCAGCAGCTGCTGAACCTGCACACCTAAACCTCAACAACAATAAAGCCACTGCGGTATAAAACCCTGGCTCAGATCTCCAGACTAGCTGCTAGACCTTTTAGTCGCCTGTGCGGTACAGATGTCAAGGCCAACTTCTGAGTTTTTTGGCACATTGTCTTTTTGGACCTCAGTTCACACTTTGCTCTGTGTCTCAGGTTCACCATGCCTGCTTCAGCGATAACCAGCCGTGTCCAGCCTCATTATCGTCCTCTGCCTCCGGATTTGGACTTCTCTGTCTTCAGCCCGTCAGCCATCATTTCACTCAAACCTTCCGCCCCCATCTTCAAACCACAGTCAACTACCTTTAACCATTCCCAGTTCCCTGGTTGGGTTTGCATTTGGGTCCAAAACTGAACTGTCACAACACCAGTGAAATAAGCTGGTGATACATTGCTTGCAACATGAAGAATATGTGTTAAGAGGAAACCTAGAATCTGTCTTGGTGACGTTGGTTCATAATAGCAGCTCTCCTTATGAGACACATTTATCAGCAGCACTAACTGAAACATGCCTTTTTAGCTCTGAACAACAGTGCTGTAGAAATTTCCCATTAACAACATCAAGCAACGGGGGCTCTACTGTCTTTTTTTACTCTCCTTCTTTTGCTTTCTGTCTTCTCATTTATTTATGACTTTCTCCATCTTCTCCACTCTATCCGTCCCTTCTCCACATTCCTCTCCTCCCTATATCCTCCTATCCATTTTCTGTCTCCATGGCTCTATTCTTGCACTAAACCGTGGACAAGCTTCTCCTCTCCTCTTCTTGTTGCCTCTGTCTCTCCTCAATTACATTTCCATCAACATCTATTGATGTTGTCTGTAAATCTAAGGTGTCTGTGCAGCAAGATGGTCAGAAAGTGAGGAGCAGAAAATAGAATAAACGTCAGGATGGATGAAGTAAAGGTGTTTGTGTGTGTGACTGATGTTGGATATCTGTGAAGCGACAGGAGAGATGGACACTATCGGCTGCTCAGGAAATTGGAACAAGCTCTAAGGCGTTGGGCCATCTTCCTATTTCTTTC